CCTGCTACAGTCAATGCCTCTCCTGCCGTGTGGCAGCCACTCCCGAATTGCTTACGATAACTTCTCCGTGCAGCAAGTTGCGACAACGGCGGGCAACGGAGGCGCGTCGGATGTACCTCAATTGCCAACAGCAAATTCATGGCGCAGCGCATAATAAATGACCTAGCAACAGCCGCGTTGCAGCTCCGAGCCAAGCGTTGAATTTGAGCCAAATAGTGGAATGCGGTGTTGCAGAGTATGGAGGGGTGCAAGTATGCAAGTACCTATACTAAACCTTGTATATGTATGTGCATTAGGGTGGTCCCAAAATGCACGCGAAAAAGTGAAGTCGAAATTTAAATGCTCTCACCCCTGGGATTTTTCTGTATCGATTTTTCTTTTTTATTTTGAAATCGAAAAATATTTAGAGCTCGGTCAGAGTGCTCAAAGTTTTTCATGTATTTTATATGGTGAAAGAACAACTTTTCGTAGAAATGATATAGAATTCTTGAAAATCAATATTTATCGAAAAACTCTATTTCTCTTCAGAAGACTCCCATTTTTCCTGGTAACTATATTTTATAGGTCCGCCAAAACCCACAGAAAATGCAATGGGGACCAATAAAAAATCTTTAGTATTAAAAAATGGTTAAATAAACAATTGGATATTATTATTGGAAATCTCCTGAAGAGAATCAGAGTTTTCCGATCGAAAAAAATTGTTTCTCAAGGATTCTATAGCATTTCTATAAAAAGTGCTTTTTTACATATAAAGTACATGGAATATTTTAAGCGCTTTGAGCGACCTCTAAGCATTTTTTGATTTCAAAATAAAAAATAGGAGTCTATTTTTTAATATAGAACAATCCTAGGTAATGAGAGCCTTCAAATTCCGACTTAATTTTTTTTGGGCCACCCGAATGTACATACAAATATACATAAGTACATCTTTATTTACAACTATAGATAAGGTATGTAGGTGGCGACGCGGTATACCGTTTTGCAAACCCAGCTATGTACTCGTACTTGGTATACACACCAATGGGCCGAAAGCATTTCATATGCACTCGGCTAAGCTTCGTGCGCGCTCGTTTGCAGCTTCGTACTTAGTGTGGTATTTCTTATTTTTCATATACAAACATACGAACATATACAAAACGTATCTATGTATGTACATAGGACTTTTTTCTTCGTCAGTGTTGTCCGTCTACGGGTGGCAATGCCGTACAGTGGTATGAAATTGAAATGTAGAGTTCATAAACGGCTACAGGTCACAGATATTGACCGATTTAATTTTTTTTTTTTTTTTTTTTTTTTTTTTTTTTTATGAAATTTAGCTTGTCAAGCCAGATTTTTATCTTTAATTTAAATTTCTTTTATTGAATTTTTTAGTGCAAAGTGCAGAGAAAGTAGCAATTTTAAGGGAAATCGATTCTCCTGCTCCTGTTAATGAAAAAATTGCACAAGAAATAAAATTTTTTTCAATTTGTGTGTTCGAAATACAACAAAAACACAACCACTTGAAGCTTGAACTTTAGTATACTAAAATTTAATAGGCTATAAAACTGCATACCTATGTAAATTTTTCTGAAACTGAAATGTACTGTTCATAATCGACTACGGGCCACAGATTTTGTCCGATTGTATTTACTTATTTCTTTTTAAAGGAATGCTGATGAGATTTGGAAGAGACTTATCGTGATTTTTTAATTTTTATTGGTTTTTGGGTCATTTCATGTAAAAGCGAAAAACGACATATATTTCAAAAAATGCCTTAATTATCCCTATTTCAGTATTATCCTCTCGCTAAATGACTACATTTGATTAATCTATTGCAAAATATTAAAAAAAAAAAATTATAAAAAGTTCATACAATATTACGAACATTAAATTTCAGTTTTAGCCCACTGTGCGCCACTTGTGTGCTGTAGTTGTTGGAAGAGGGAGGGCGAAAGGCCAATATGCACTAATGGGATTACAAATACACCCAAATAATAAAGCAAATTTATGTGTTTACATAAGTAGGTATGTACGTTTGTATGTACATATGTGAGTAGGGAAAGAAAGCACTATATGTACCTATGTATATACAAATACCTGTATAAGATGTACGTATATACTTACATATACATATATGTACATATATAAATAAACTTTGTTACTACACATACATACACAAATGCATTTTGTTAAATAATGTTTTTTTCTTTTTTGTAAAAATGTCAGTACAGGGTTAAAGGGGTGCAATAATCATACAGCGCTTCTCAAAAAAGTTTTAGAGAAGTTTTATTTGTACTTACAACGACGAAATATGATATTTCTAAAAACCTGTAGGTATGTACAGTAAGTACACAGAAAAATTTTATGTGAGGTTATGTGCTATCTCGCTCATACTTTACCAGAAGACGAAGTTCGTATAATCGAGAAATAAATAAGGTACCTATAAATCAAAATGAAATACATAAAAGTGTGATCGGAAATATGTACATATGTATGTATGTAAGTGGGTCTGTGTGTGAGTACACTTAGGTCTCTTTTATGCGGTATATGCGTAACCGCATAACAAAGTTCTTTACTTTCATACAAAAACAGGGGATGTGTTCCAGCATTTTCAGAAAACCGCATGAATTCATATACTCCATGCCAAGGCACATTAAACAGGTAGTATCAGTAGAGCAAAAACAACATTTGCGTGTATTTTGTTGTTGCTTCTGGTATCGAAAGTGTCAAAAACTGTTCTGAATTTTTTCTTCTAAATCAAAGCGTGCCATGTGAAATACAAAAAATTATAAAAAATAAAAAATTGAAATTGGAAAAAATAAAAATTGATGCAACTTTCTTTCCTAGTAAATTTGTTTGCTTCTCGAAGCATTGATCCATCCTTTACAAGGGCCAGTAATCAGCGGTTGTGCTGCTGAGTTGGGCGAACGTTCCAAAAGCTGCTATTCAATCGCTTGTTTTGTATGGAAAAAGGTTTCACATGCAAATGGATTTTAACAATTCAGAATTTTTGTGAGAAAAAATTAAAAATATTTGACATTTTCGAGACCAAATAATTTGAAAATAAATCAAATCAGCTGCTCTACTGATACTACCTGTTCAATGTACCTTGCTCCATGCAAAAAAAAATCCACTGAGGCAATATTAAGCAAAACAAAACAATTTATTTCTTCACTTCAACACTTATTAATCCATGTAGAACTGAACATTATTTAAATAAATAGAATTCTATTTGTAGATATTTTAAACAAAAACAAAAAAAAAATACCACAAAAAATACATGAGTTATGTAAGAATAAAAAACACACTGAAAAAAGTAATAACAACTCTCAAAAAAGCAAAAACGCTATAGCGAAAAAATGGTTTGAATAACCGCCTAAAAAAAGACCTAAGTGTATAACGTCTCATAGATTTTTCCGCCGCAGTGAAAAACCTTTTTCTGTTTTTTTTTTTGGATGCATAAAAGAATTATTGCATGAAAAACCATTGAGTTTTAAGAGGCATTTGAAAAAGAGCCTAATATACATATATAGAACGTAGTTGAGTATGCTTGAATAAATATGTACATATGTACGTATATATACACGCATGTATATCCTTATACATACATATAATTATGTATAAAATCAAGTCAGGTTAGTTACGCCATTTATAAATCAAGAACTGCTGAATAGGGTTCGAACGATACTATCGATATTGAGTAAGCATCGATACTGAGGGTATAAAAATGAGTACTTTAATACTCGATACCTTATTTGGTGATTTTACTCGATACTTTGCAAAGTACTCGTAGTATCGAAAAATTTTTAAAAAGCACACTTTAAATTTTTTCTTCGATTGGCAACCCAATTTTCTTTGCTTATATGGATTACTATCATTCAATTTTGTCCACCACTTAAAATAAACTGAAATTTCGTGTAGTCTGTTGCATAACATAAACCAAATAAGTCAAAGTTTAATGGTCTTATTCATAAAAAATAAAGTATATTAAAAGAGCTTAATAAAATAACATTTTCACACATTTTTTAGTTTATAAACCTTTTTTAATTTTTTATGAATAAGGCCATAAAACTTTACGCAAAGTTCACGAAAATGCAGAATTTTTAGAAACCTTTTGGGTATGCAGTTTTGTAACCTATTCAACTTTACGTGTAGCCTCTTACCGTTGACTTTTAATTCAAACTTGCACTTTATTACACTAAAATTGAATAGGCTACAAAAATGGACGCCCAAAAAGTTTACAAAAAATCTTAATAAAATTTGAAATTCGTGAAAGTATATTTATATATGTATGTATGTATGTACATTTAACGTTAAAATTACTTCTTACGTGAAAGAAAGTTTTGCAGTGAAAAAAAAATCAAATATTTAAAATTTGTATTATTTTAATTTCAGGAAATAACTAGATATACGACTGAAAAATAAAATAATTTTAGTATCTTAAAAAAACGTAGTTTAATGAGTTCGATACTGAGTAGTATCGATACTTTTTCCCTGATACTTTTAGAGTATCGATACCATGAGCTGGATGCCAGAACGAGTACTCAGTATCGATACCAAAGTCTGAAATTTCGAGCCCTACTGCTGAAACGTTTTTTAAGGTATTTGAAATATGGGCCTTATGGGTTCACACTGTCTATTGATTTTAAAGTCGCCTGCGATAGCACGAAACGGAACCGCCATGTCGGAATGTGGTATATCCCCGTCTAACTAACACGCCTAGCAGCTGTGTAAACTGACGTTTAGCAATGTGACGCAGCTCCGTCGGAATTGAGAAGGACCGCCCTTCAATACCCAAATGCGGAATCCGATGCTGAATAAGCTAAGAAGAACTGCAGAGCTAAATCACACAGATATATTTCGATGATATAGACATCATTCGTCTCAACAATGCCAACGTCTGTTTTGTTAATATGCATATGTACATAAATACATAAATATAATATTAAATTTAAGCTTTAAATCTATTAATACGTATGTGTGTATGTATCTACATGTGTACTTTTTATATTTATTTTCAGCTGAACCGATATGTGATTCATATGAACCTGGAAATCGGAGAAAGCATTTATTCAATCTTAAATCCAAAAACCATACATACACATGCACATATGTACATTGGCGATCAAAACTGAGTGCATGGCAAGGCATATTAAACAGGTACCATCAGTAGAGCAGCTGATTTGACTTTTTTCAAATTAGTTGGTCTCTAAATTGTCAAATATTGTTAATTTTTTTGACAAAAATTCTTTATTTGGCAAAATGTGTTTGCATGTGAATATTTAAAATAGAAGCGATTGAAAACCAACCTTTGGAACGTTTGCTTAACTCAGGAGCATAAACGCTTATTATTAGGCCCTGCAGAGCGTCTATTGATGCTTCTGGAATGAAACAAATTTATAAAGAAAGAAAGTTGCTCCAATTTTTAATTTTTTTTATATTTCACATCGCAATGATATCTAAAAAAGTATACGTACTATTTTTTGGCACTTTAGATACCAGAAGCAACAACAAAATACATACACGTAAATGTTGTTTTTGCTCATATGCTACCTCTTGATATGCAATGTCGTCTGGTGATGTTTGCTAAATATGTATTTGGAATGTTTTTCTGGTTAAAAATTTTGTTTTTATTGGTATTGTTGTTTGTTTTTTTTTTTTTTAACTTGGTTCAAGCTTAAACTAAAACCACGCAACTCAAGCATGCATACACAGAATTTAGAAAAATTCAAAAATTTTCATCACAATTTTGATCTTTTTAGGGTCGTTTTTACAGTGATGAGTTAACTCTCTTTCGGCAGTTGAACTACATATATGTTTTCAGTACAAAAATTGATAGTTAACTGCCGAATTTGAGGTAACTCGCCACTGTGAAAACGGCACTTATTAATCTGCTAAAAAATCTTGTTGTTTTTTATATTTTTTTGCTGACGGTTTTTTTCGTATAACAAGCGCAATATAAAAAACTAGCGTTGCTTTTTTTAATTTTTTGCAAACAGTCTTGTGTATATTTTTCTTTAAGAAATTCATGTTTATGTGCAAAAGGCCGTCAGCAAAAAAATTAAAAATATAATCAACGCTATATTTTAGACATTTAAAGTTTGACCTGTTTCACTAGAATTTCATAGGCCTGTAACTGCATACTCAAATCTTTTTAAAATTTCAAAATTTTGAGGAAAATTTGTGGTTTTGGATAAAACATAAAGCATATTGTTTTAAAAAATACTAATAAAAATTAACTTGAAAATTGAAAATATTTAACAGAAATCCCCATGCACTCACTTTTGATCGCCAGTGTACATATATGTATATGTATCTATGTACATACATAAATAGAATCTTAACAATCACCACCGCCTACGAATATACATACCTACCTTGGTATGTACGCATTTTTAAGAACCTGAAATTTAATCAAGCAATTTATACAATTTCGGAACGCTCAGAGTTCAATTCGTACATATGTGTGTATGTATGTACTCTGATGTCAATGATGGAAGGGGAAAGAAAACGAATCTTTTTGATAGAGCTGTGTGGCAACATCAAAAGAAGCATACATTGAACCAACTGTGGAAAGTGGTAAGAGGTTAAGATAAAAAAAAAAATCGTGCATAATTTTATAGAAAAAATAGCAATTATTTCGCTGTTTAATCAAGCAATTGGTTGTATTTACAGCACAAAATCGAAGGTTGCAGCGCCTACGCCTGACGCAGGTCAATAAGCGCATCGAAAAGGGCGAACATTCGGCCAGCTGCGCTGCGCTATACATATATAGTATGTCCACATGGAAGGGTAGTTGTGGCGGCAAGTGAAGGAAAAGCAGAAAGCATGTTACGCAAGCCAATGCAAGCTACGTCGTACGTCGAGCAGGAAAAAATAACAAAGAAAAAGAAAAACAGGAAAAAAACTGAAGCATCACGCTAAAATGACGGAAATGAAAAATAAAATGCAATAAAAAGAACAAAAGAACAACAACGCGTGCACAAGCCCGGTGATGTTGAAATGACGATGGTGTATTAAACGGGGCCTCTCAGCTGGTTTCTTTATATTAAAGTGGTTGTTACTCGCCCATTCGTCTGCAGGCATACTAACGACGAGCTGATTGCTTTGACGTTACGACTGGTTGAAGGCGATGTGAAGTGCTGAGGGATGTAGTCAAAGTGAATTTCGTGGAAGAATTGTTGGAATGCAGTAGGAAATGAGTGAAAAGGAGAAAATCAACCGGTTAGTTGTTTCGAATGGCTGGCTATATGTACTTAGTATGTTCATACTTTACAGGTAAAAGCGCAGTTAGTCAACGACGTAGCGTAAACGTAGGTTGACGTACGTAGCAGCATTTCAAATTTACTGTTGATAGAGAGAGAGAGAAGCAACGGCCACGTCACCGCCATGCGGTGGTGAGTTTTCGTTAACACGCGAATCCCATAATGTAGATCGTTTCTGCGTCAACCTACGTCTACGTTACGTCGTTGACTGTTTGAGCTTTAAGAATTCTACGTAAAACATGTATTTTTCATTTGTGCATATATACATACATATAAAAATAAGTACATGCATACATACATTCATGTGTAGATACATATATTCTTTGGGGATATTGGATGCCGATCGTCATCGTCGCGTAGTAGTGAAAGTAGTCACTATTCTAATTGAAGACGAGTTTGGCGGAAAAAGTTACTGCTACTTTCAGGGCGATGCCTCTTCAATGCTCCCACGCAGTTATGATTATGAAGGTGCAGGGATGATATTTTCAGGGATAGTAGTCGAAAGATCTAGCTTTAAGTTAAGCCTAAGTGGAAGGTTCTGTCACCTTTTCTTTCTTTGCTCTAGGCGCTTCTCAAATATTGCGAAAATGCAATTTTTCGACACTTTGGCCTCGTTTTTCTCAAAATCTGGAGCTGATTTAAACTTTATTCTTCTTAATCAGCACCAAAAATTCTATCAAAAACAGCTTTAACATTGCCGCACCAAAATCAGTATTGCCCCGTATCAATAATTATTACCAGGTTATCGAACAGACTAAATGTTCCTAAACAATGTTTTGCCATATTTTTTGCATCAAAGCGCAGCCATGCGGCCGTTTTTGGTAAAAATAAATTGCAAACTCAGATTTCTCTAACCGAACATCTCCATAAGGATCTTTTGATGGTAAAAATATTTCCATTGAAATAAATTTTAATTGTTTCGAATGCTCCCTTGCGACCAACAACTTCAAAATGAAAAAAAGCCACGCTTAAAATCGCTAATCTGTGAAAACAGAGACTACTTTATAAAGTATGTATATAGAAAATATCTAACACCCCGGATATATATCACTCAAATCGAATCCCAGTAATTTCAATAATTTCCCTTTTTAGGATCGATTGACAAATTATGGAGAACCGAAATAAGCTTTCATCTACTACTAAAAACAAAAAAATATAAAATTTGCCAGTGTTTGTGTTAATTGTACTAGAAATTTTGTGAGCAATTAAACGATTTCGAATATGCCAGGTATGTAGGAAGATATGAGCGCAAAAATGGTATTTATATACATACACTGCCGGCAAAAAGTATTGACACAGCAAACTTTTCACAATATATGCAACAATTTTTTTTCTAATATTTTTCCGCCAATTTTTTATAAAAATATGGTTCATTCTACAACAAAAAACATAAAAACATAATTCCTAAACTTTGTGCTGAACTCGTGAAAATTCAGCAACTTTTCATGCAAATTTTCAACTTTCTAATCACATTTTTTAGATTTTTTTTGCAACCCATTAAATTCTAGTAAAAAAAATGCTAGTTCGGAGATAGTCAAAAATCGCACTGATTTTTAAGTTTTTTTTTTTGTTGAAAGTGTTTTGCATTTTATCCACATATTTTCCAAATTTTTTTTTTTGTATGGAAGAGACTGCGTGAAAAAAATTGCCAAAAATAAACGTCAATTCCTACATATTTAAAACTTTATGATAAAAAATTGATTGGGCTACAAATCTGCATACAATTCTAAAAAATCTGAAATAAAGTTGCATGAAAATTTGCTGAATTTTCGTGAGTTTTACACAAAGTTAGGAATTATATTTTTAAGGTTTTTGTAAAAAATGGCTTGAATTGTGAAAAATTTGCTGTGTCAATACTTTTTGCCGGCAGTGTAGTTTAATTTCACTTACAGTAGATTGTGAGAGGCATTTCAAAAATGCTTATTTAGCGCTTTGCTTATACAAACTAAAAATTAAATATTAATTCTGCTAATTTTTGACACGTACAAGTGATAAGCGCCTAAACGTTCGTATAGAATGTATGTACTCGTGCATACATACATACATACTTACATATATATGTATATCCATATAAACTAAATTTGCATTGCAATTAAACTACAAAGTTGGTGAGTTTTGTTTTGATAATTCCTATCTGTAAATCGTTTGCTTACTCTTACACCCATACTAGCCTAGATAGTAATGCAGATTGTATATATGTACATATTTGTTTAAAATGCACATATTTATTTATGTCTGCATGCATGTACATACACATTTAAATATTTAATCAAGTGATAAAGCGCTTGGTTGGCAGAGGGAAGCTGGCTGTACGAATGCGGAAGTTAACTAAAGCTTATACATTATAATAGTGCATACATATGTACATACGTACATACTAGGGCATTCAATCCCGGGATTCCGGGATCCCGCACACTTTTCCATGGGATTACAGCTCCAGGATCCCGAGATTTTTACTGATTCATTTAGAGAATGAAAGAGATGTTGAAAATGAAAAAAATAATTAATTTAACATGAAATACGAGAAATACAGAACACTAAAATTTGGATTCAAAGTAAACTTGAGCCATTTGCAGTTGGAAGTGAATTTCGGGACCTGCCTGAATATCTGTACTTGTTCAAATATTTTGTGCAAGAACTGTGTAATAGCAATTGAAAACACAACAAGCTTTTACAGTTGTTCTTCATTTTACTTTGTTGGTGTTTTTTGGCAAAGGATATCTGCAAATATGAGTAAATGTTTTTGTCAAGTAATATAGATATTTTAGAATACTATCAAAATATTTAAACATCAAATTATGTACTCTCTTACTAAGGGGCATTATGCTCCCCTAAGACCAAATGTGGTGACAATAAATCCGTGTTGATTGAAAAAGGCGAACCTATTGTAAAATGCAAAAAGTTGTGATGAAGTCGAAATCCCGAAAAATCTTGGAATACCGCGATTTTGCATCCCGAAATTACGGTTTTGTTAAAATGCTTCGGGATTGAAAGAACGTTCCACCCTACGGAATGGTAGCAGCACTGCAAGTAGTGGAGAAGACGAACCCGAGCCCGCAGTCGATGACGATGGAGTCAATGTCCCACCGCCTGACTATGACGAGGTACGGTGGCGACGAGCTGATAAGGTAAATGCATCAACTATTGGCAGAATATGGTGAGGAGAACGCATGCCCGACGACTGGAATTTAAATGTGCTCTGCCCAATCTACAAGAAAGTTGACCCCGCCATACGCGCCAAGTTCCGCGGAATCAGGCTTCTCAGAATAGGTTACAAGGTCGAGCGTATTGTGTGAAAGATTGAAGCCCACGGTCAACGCACTGATTGGAACTTATCAGTGTGGCTTTAGACCTGGCAAATCCACCATAGATCAGGTATTCACAATACGCCAAATCTTGGAAAATACCTGCAAGAAGAGGATCGACACACACCATCTATTTGTCGATTTCAAAACCGCTTTGGACAGCACGAAAAGAAGTGGCTTAATTCGTATCCTCGCGAAACCGACACGGTTGTGTAAAATGGCGTTGAGCAAAACCACCAGCTCCGACAGAATGGGGAAATAGCTCTCCGAGCTGTTTGCTACCAAACGGGGTTGCAGATAGGGCGGCTCCCTTTCATGTCATTTCTTGAATTACTACAAGAGCGTGCAATTGCTGGCGTATGCCGATGATATCGACAAAAAAAACGACGAGTACCGAAGTCGATGCAACGATGGGCCGCATGAGCTGTACAACGACATGGACATAGTGCAGCGAATTAAAATACAGTGGCCGCTCTGGCTACACCATATCCTAGGAATGAATAGATATGTTGAAAGTATTCAACTCGGAACCCGCTGGTGGTAGCAGAGGAAGAGGAAAGCCCCCATTGCGATGAAAATACCAAGTGGAAAAGGATTTGGCTTCACTTTGCATTTCCAATTACCGTCAGTTGGTACAGAAGAGAAACGACTGGCGTGCGCCAAATAAGAAGAAGTTAAGTTATTCTCCATTATTTCTTTCCCACCACCCCATCCACTTTACGTTGCTCCCATCTGCTCATATGCCCCACACACTACACTGCGCGCTGAATTAATTGACCACCGGAAGTTGTTTACTTTCCTTGTTTTCCTTCTGTTTATTGTTTCTAGTTTGTTATTGTGCCTTTTTTGTTGTTTTTCAATTTCTATTGTGTAAATTTATTGTATAGTAAATATATCTTTAGTTTTCGTTTTTGTTTTATTTAAGTTTCTTCTTTGCATTTGTAATTTTAGAGGTCAGCCAAGTCGTCGCTTTGTTTGATTTTCTTCTGTTTGCGTGTTTTGCGTTGTCGCTACCCTGCCGGAAATTTAATTAGTTTGAAAGTAATTTATAAACTACTTTATTTTCAATGATAACTAATTGAAATTCTCACTTCCTAGGAGCAAGTCAATTGCCTTTTCCTGCATGTATTTTCAACTACTTTGAAATGCATTTGGCTTAAACAACTTCAAAGTCAGTATGTTTCGTTTGAATACGCCTCTGTTGGGACTCGAACCTGGACCTTCTAGAGAGCTAAGAAGTAACAGCAAGCACCTCTGCACGCTCAGCTATAGCCAGACATGTATGTAAATGTGCTTTCATATGTTCAGTTTGAATTGTGTGCAAGCAGCAAGTCGACTGTCCTATTCTGCATTTAATTTAAACTACTTTAAAATGAATTTGGTTTAAACAACTTCAAAGTCAGTATGTTTCTTTTGAATACGCTTACGTTCTGCACTTCACAGATGATTTTTCATACTTCCAAGACACAAATTGTTTTTTTTTTTTTGAGTAAAAAGAGTATCAAAATTCGAAACATTTACTCCTTGCAGTTGTTTTAAAGTAGTCTTTCAATTAGTTGATTTAAAAAGAATCACTTGTTTCCGTCAGGGTACTTTCCCGTTGTGTCTAGTAGTTGCTTGTTGTTGGCGTATAATTTTATTTTTATTGTCGCGTTTTTTTTCGGTTTGCTATATTAATGTGTATGCGAGTACATAGATGTGCGGTTTT